CTGCATTCAAGCGCTTCTGTTCACGGAAAATGGACGACTCTTCTTTGAATCTGCAACGTCTCAATCGACTATCGATCGTCTCATGGTGATGTAGAGGAACATACTGCTCAGTTCGACAACCTTTGGACATGGCAGGTGTAGAAAGCTACTCCCTGAATCCAAAGCGACTGCAGATCACTCGAACATGACGTGTCATGCATGTGCAAATGCACTTTGAGGGCAGAACATCAATCAAGACCCCCACAGGCTGAAACGACAAGTGATGGGTGCCGCAGATGTCACACTGAGTGTTTTGGATATTGCACAGCGAGGGCCTTTGTGACCCTTGCCTCCTTTGCTGCTGCCTGTGGTGGCTGCTTCAAGTCGGATATGTAAATCAAGTGTCTGAGCCTCAAGCTTCTGAACTGTCTTTTCTAGTTCGGTAATTTCTTGGGTGGTTAATGCGATGAACTCAGCTAGATGACTCTTGAGAATTTGGTCTCTGACCAAATCCGTAGCTGCTGCCTCAGAGCTATCCGCATCAGCATCTGAGGTAGTTCCACGACTGTCGGTGCTGTCAATCTCACGGAGGAATAGGTCATTGGGTGCTGTGGCCAGGCACTCGGCACTCGTGTCGGTCTGGTACAACAGGCTGCATGGTACTGAGGTTCCAAATCTCCACGTGTGCAGGTCTGAAGACAGTTTTGCGGCAAGAAGCAAAAGCTACGCACTGAATCCGAAAGAACTGCAAACCACATGAATCATGACATGTGAAGACGAAGCAGCATGCAACATTCTCGGAAACGGAAGGTAGTTTTTACCGCAAAGCAAAAGCTTCGCTGCAGCGAAAGAACGGCTTCGCAGTCAGAACATGATGCAAAACATGCTGATGTAGTTGTTAAACAAAAGGAAGAGATGAAATGAACTATGCTCAATCACCAAAAGATGGCGAAGCCTTTGTTGCATGCGTTGGAGGCGCGGATGCACCACCTCTTATCACGCGCGCGAACCATGTCAATGAATTGAGAAGCTACGCAGTCCGCCTTTACGCCTCCCGAATCAAGGGTGACATGATTCAGCTGTCTGGTCGGGGCCACGCCCGTGACGCAAATCGGGCGGGGTGACTGCCATCCACCAAATTTACCGGCTTGTTCCATCGCTAGGGTCCGGGAGTAGTTGTGGGCTCGCGTGTAGAAACCACGCGAAGGAAGCCAAGTGGTGTCGGCAATCATGAAGTTGCTTGGCCGCACCATACCCGAAGTAAGAATCGAAACCGCAGCAGCTACAGTTGTATTGCGCGTGAACAAGATGGGATTCATCTGCGGCGAAGTCTGACGGGCATCCCGAAGTGGCACCCTAATCTTCACCTTGAGGTGAATGTAGTTCTTGCTGTCTTTCGTTCCGAGGCTTACAGAAACAAGCTCGTTATTGCCAACAATCTCCGAAGGAATCAGCAGGCCCACAATCATCTCATGAAACAGTGGTGGCACAACAGACAGATCATAGCCATCCGACGTTGCAAGATCATAAACATACTGCCACACTGTTGCTGGCAAAGAGGCTTCCGTATCCTCAGTAGGATCGTTCGTAACATACGAGCTCCGAGCGAATCTCAGAAATGCACTTCTACCGTGCAGGCGAATCCATCACAAGCTTTCGCAAAGCCAACATGCATGCCACCAACGCCGCCCAATCATACCGAAAGTTAGCCTTGAACCTGATAGGCCCAGCAGCAGCACACAACATCAACTCATGTAGGAACACGCAGTTGGGGTTCCCGCTTCCACGGCATTTCAAAGCAATGTGTATGCACAGCAGAGCTCTGAAACTCATCATCATACAGGTGGGAAGGAACATGGGAACAGGACGTGGCATCGGGGCGGGTGCTGGAATTGGATCAGTGGCAGGGTTGGGTGCACTGGAAGTGGCTGTGGCAGGGGCGAGTGCAGTGGCAGGTGGAGTGAGAACAGTGACGTGAGGTGCTTCAGGTGGAGCGGCACTTGTCGAGGGTGGCCCTTGCATGCCGACCATCATCGCCTGGTGCAGCAAAGGCATGCCATGACTCACAAACAAATCTTCGTGTCCAAACTCCATCCGCACGGTCATGTTCCCTGCTTGCAAAAAAGGCAGCTGCTGGAGGTAGCTGCGGGGAAGCAGGGGCAACGTCATAATTAGCCGAGTGGCGAGGAAAGACTTGCGGGGGAGGAGGGTTGATCGGAGTGAAAATCGCACGCGGATCGGGCGCAGACTTCTGCACCGGCACTGTTGTCAAAGACGGAGGGGCGGGCCGTGGGGAATCCGCAGGGGGAGGTGGGGGAGGCGGGTAGGGTGCATACCGAGGCGGGGGCCGGGGAGGGGAGGCAGGTGGAGGGGGATTCACAGCCCATCCCGGAAGGGGGAGGGGAAGCAGACTTGGGGCGAGCGCTCCAGCCATGATGTGATGCTGCATTCCGAATCAAATCTATGACCACAACATGTAAACACTAACATGTCATGACGACTCACGAGAAACATGCACTTGATGAGCAGAAGCTGCAGGCAGAACAGCGGTCACCGTCAACACATCATGTCATGAACATGAGCATATGCACTTCTGAAGGCAAGGCGAGTGTCGACTCGACTAACCTGAACTACTATGCGAGACTCAGATCGACGTAGATGACAAGCAATTGGTCCCAAAGTTCACGGGGGAGAAGGCGTAGGGCTTAGGAAAAATGACCGGTCGCATGACCAATGCACAGCACGAACTTGCCACTCTCTGTATAGCCTGGACTGTCTCAACAACTTGACAAGTGTAGGCCACAACGTATGAAGAGGATGACCATGTCGAATGTACAGCTGGGTCAGATCTTCCAATTGTGGAACAATATGAACACGAGGTCGAGTGAGCTCGTGATCGAAAACCTGAAATTGCAAACGACAAAGAATTGGCACTAGCAGAACTGCGAAACTGACTAGCATGCGTGTTCAATCGCATCGTGATGCTGCGTTGCGCGGCGTCTATCCGAAAACCCAACAATGGTTCATCACCAACATCCTCCAGAAGTAAAGAATCGCCATAGAAGGTCTCCGACATGTAGACTTGCCATGGAACTGGACGAATCACGGGGTCGGCGGAGAGAAATGCCCGATTGTCGACGTATCGAACAGCGCACATCAAGAGTCGAGAAGACTGCAGGAATGTTATCAGTTCTCCCGAAACAATAATTCCTGAACGCCAGCAACACAACCGCAAAGTATCGGTGCACAGGGCGAACCCATGCTGGCCCCTTTCACTTGACGAAAAACGTGTGGTCCCACAGTGAAGAAGGATCGCTGCCAGAAATATTGTACCAAAGGGAGAATGGGACGGAGACGGAGCTTGCTAATGCGACGTCGAAGACGCCTCCAGGTGCCTCGAAAGGCTCTAGTCAGACGAGTAGCAGACTGTGACGAGACTGAAAGAAAGGGATTCGGATCAGTGATCTCCTGAAGTCGCCGAAAGGGTGCAATCAGAATCTGTACAGACTGAAGAATGCGAAAGTGTGGAACTGCGTCGTAGAAACCAGCGATATCTTGCTGCTCCAACGTGAGATCGAAACGGTGATGAAGAGAATGCATCACTTGCCAAGCTGTGCGTAAAATATAAAGTCGTCCTGGATGAACGCTGTCTGTGCAATCGCATTCAATGCCACACTCAACAGATTGCCCAAAGGTGTGATCCAAGTGCGAGTGTATGATACAATGGGCGTGGCCTTCATCCAGCCGTTGCTTTCTTTTGGAAGAATGTACGCATAAGGTAGTGAGCGTTTCCAATAAATGTCCAACCAGCTGCACTTTTGAACCGTTTAGGCTGAGCTAGACGCAGGTTGTCAAGAATGGGGTTTCTGGCTTGGCCCCTCGCCCTTTGCAATCGAAGTGGGGTTTCTGGCTTCGCCCCTCGCCATATCAAATCTCTGCACTTTCATGCCAATATTCGGCCGAAGACGAAAGCGGCCTTGTTTGCAGGTACAGGTGGTTGATCANNTCCCCTGTCTTGGAATAGCTTCGTTGGCACAGGTAGCCTGTGCCCCGTGCTGAAAAGTACAGAGTCGAGTCGTGTCCTCGGACTACCCTTAGTTTAGCTGTCGGGGTGCAACAGCAACAACAACAACAACAGCAACAGTACGGCGTCAATGAAAAGCCAAGGGAAAGCTGTTGCAAAACAACGCAAAATTCAAGCCCAGTCATGAAGCGAATTCCTTGCCATGACAGAAAAGAAAGGGTCTTCTTTCGAATCGACCCTGTCATGAAACGACTCCATGGCTATGGAACTCAAAAGTGGAGTTCAACACCAGCCTTCTGAGAATGTGTTTCATGCAACAGGATTTCATGTTACCCCCTGCATGATGTGAGGTCACTGCTATGGCACTGCATGGCGGACATGTGGTCGAACCCCAACCCTATCATCTTGCGACTATGCTTCCACAGCATGATTAAAAGAAAAAAGCACCTGTTCCAGAGCAAAAGGTTATCGAATCGGCGAGAAGGCTGCAAACCCACGTCTCATGCCATGCTATGACGAATGGCATGGGATCTCGGATCATGGCGCGACCACTACTGCCCAACAACACAAAACACAAGAAAACAATGCACGTCTGCTGAAGCAAGGCATCGTCAAATTGTTACAGCTGGTCCCGCCTCCGACGTCGGAGCGCGGCCCTTTCCATGCTGCCTCTTGGGATTGCTGGGGCCTCTCAGCTGCCGCTTCTTCGGCTGCACCCACTCTGCGGAGGCGCAGCATGGCAAGAGCTGTCGGCGCAAAGGCCGCAGCGCAAGAGCTGCGCTTGCGAGGGAAAAACCAGCGCAGATGGAGGCGGATGTTCCGAAAGACTTTCTTCGAGACTTCGATCGCCAAGACTTTCTTCGAGCCGTGAGACTCCATCGAAGAAGTCCAGCAGCCGGAGCGGGGACACCGACACCCAAAGGTGATGCATTGATCACCCCCTGGCGCGGTTGCATTCAGGAGCACTTGCAGGGTGTACGGCCACCAGTGTCGAAAGCTATATGAGGGTGGGTTGTTCTATTCCACATATTGCATGGCGTTGCTGGCTGTTGGGAGCCGACATCTTGGCATGAACAGCTGCAGGACTGAGACGCGAAGCTTTGCAACTCACTGGGTTCGCAGCTATGTCCTTTGTCAAAGCTTCCATCTGCGCGGCCGACTCTCGACAAGCAGGCATTGAATTTGTCAGCAAATGCCTTGCCTCCTGGTTGGCTATCCTGAACTTGTCCTAGCTGCAACGCTCGCGTCATGCAGTGGGACGGCTTGACCCCGATGAAGGTTCCAAATGTCCTCTAGGTTTAAAGCTGTCGGTAATTGGCGCCCGCGCCTTCATACATCGTGAACACTCGGGCAACAGCTTCGGGAGACCCTAGGCAAGTCACTGAGAGCACGGCTGTTGCCCTTGCCGACCACCTTTAGCCGCCTCAAGCTTTTTGGATGCACTGGGCCGGCACAAGCGGCATGCTGTATCAACTGAGCACACAGCCTTCTTGCCCTTGTCTACAGGCGATGACGGGAGGTCTGACAAGGCCTGCATCCAGGAATAAATGCATGCGTCAGCTGCACTTTGCTTTTGGCCTCATCTGTGTCCTCCAGGCCGGAGGCCCTGTCTGCATCCCGCTGCAGGTAGTCGGCGAGCATCTCATTCTCCATTCCTTAGCGGCGAAGCTCGGTAGGCTTCGATCCATGATCAAACGCATGCGAAGCGAGACCCATGCCCAGGATTTCATTCTGCTTCTGCAGGTCAGCAACCTGCCGCACTTTCGTCAGGCAAGTTGCCTCCGTTCTCGATCATCTGTCCGAGATCTACATGCATCTTCATTGATTGCCCAAGCATCACAGCTAGTGAATGCTGATGACTGGTGCAATTGGCGAATCGCATGCCGACACCAATGATGCTCCGTGTTGTGCTGATGGCTCCATATCTCCAGCGACACTGCGACAGCTCCGCTCGGTGGTCAGGGGATTTGTGCAAAAGTGTCTGATGGCAACGTGGGCAAGGGAGGTTGAGGGATGAGCCCCTTGAGCGAGTGGTGAGATTTCCGTGACGGGTTTCTAGGTCCTAGAAGAGAGCTTTTGCAGAAGCTGACACCACCTTGTCTTGCAGCTCTGGCAATGTGGCCATTCCGTGGCCTGTCGCCACATCACATAGCAAATCGGTGAGTGGACTGCCCCCTTTCACACTCGGCTGCGAACTCGGCAACTCAGCGCATGAAGGCACACCAAGAAATGACTCCTACCTATCAAACCGACTTCACCTTGAGGCCAAAGCCGCAGGATTATCAGAGGTCACTGCAGTGCATGACAACTCATTGCGCGTGAAGACTTGCGAGGTTATGCGTTCTGAAGCGCTCGGAATCAGATCGGAGACAGAGCTGTACAAGCTGAAGAAGGTGAGGCCTCCGTGTCAGCCTCTCAAATCCCTTCGAATTAAGCCAATTGCAGTGGAGCAACGGAGCTGCTCATTCTTGCACAGCCGCTCAAGGTCTCTGGCCAAAAACACAGAAATCTCGGTGGGTTCCAGAGGCACCAACCTTCTGTCCTTCCCAGTCTGTCCTAGCGTCTGCCTCTCTGTCCGTGCATCTGTCCCTTTGTCCGCCTCGCAGTCCGTCTCTCTACCGTCTCTGTCTGGTCTCTGGCCCGGTCCGGTCCTGCCCATCTCTGTCTCTCTCTTTCTTTCTGCAGGGCTTAGGAGTCGTCCGAGCTACCCTCAGGCCATAGTCTTTGCTTTGCTCTGCTTTGGGGATGGGGCATGGGCAGTCCCCACACCCCGCGCTCCAGGCGTAGTCTCAGTCTCTTCTTCTTCTTCAGCACAACGTAGTCTCAGTCTCTCTCTCTCTCTCTCTCTCCAGGGACAGAGGAGCCGGGA